AAATACTGTTCTAAGATAAACACAAAGTTTCATTAAACTGGTTAGTTTATAGATAAATCTTACCTTTAATATCAAAGTCTGTATAATATGAAACAGGCACTGTGTATATAATACTACTGTTCAAAAGTTTGGGGTAGGTAAGATTATTTTTTAATGTTTTTGAAAGAAGTCTCTTACACTCAGCGAGGCAACATTTATTTGATCATAAATACAGTAAAAACAGTAATATTATGAAATATCACAATTTAAAATATCTGTTTTCTATTTGAATATATTGTAAAATGTCATTTATTCCTGTGATGCAAAGCTGAATTTTCAGCATTACTCCAGCGTTCAGTGTCACATGATCTTTCAGAAATTATTCTAATATGTTGATTCGCTACACAAGAAACATTTTATATTATTATCATTGTTGAACGCATTTGTGCTGCATTATATTTTTGTGGAAACTGTATTTTCCCCCCAGGATTCTTTGATTAATAAAGTTGTTAAAAAACAGCATTCATTTGAAGCAGACATATTTTGTTCTAAATGTATTCACTGTGTCATCAACGAAATGTGTTTTGCTGAATAAAAGTAATATTTTTTTATTTCCAAAAAAAAAGAAAGAAAGAACCTTTGTGAAAAATAAACTTTTCATAGTGTCAGAAAGCTAGTGAATAAATAAACCTCCAACCAATTCAATAGGTTAATTTATATAAATAATATATACGCAGAAAGTTTGGTTTTAAGAAAAATAAAATCAGAAAAGAAAACTAAAGAGTGATTTCCAGTACCTGCAGCAGCTACCTGTAGCATCACTCTCTCTTCAGATGTCAGATCACCTTTCCTTGCAGGGGTCATGCTCGACATATTGTTATTATTGTTAAGGATAAATAGTATATCGATGTGAAATTGCTTCCTCAGAATACCGACCTTCTAATACAAAACTCAAAGTAAAAAGAAGGCATCATTGGTTCATACCACTTTGGAAATTGAAAGGAGGGGAGGGTGGATATCCGAGTGACACGATGTGAAAAAGCCGTAATGAATATTTAAGGATGTCAACATTTATTTTATTTAAAATATTCTATAAATACAGGTTATTACTTTGTCATTCAAGAGGATTTAATTATTAATAGCAGTAGTAATTAATGTCGTTCGAAGTACCCCTCTCGAGAGTAGTTCAGTCCAGCTGTACTTAACTTGCCTGCTCAAACTGTCTCGTGAGATAGATACTGCGCGCAGCGGTGCTCGAGATCATCACACAGGCAGAATCACAGACAGGTAACGTTAAATACAATCACATGATGCGCAATGTTACTATTAGCCTGATTCGTGTCTGATTCTCTCGTGCTTCTGAGCACCTTCTGAGCTTTTACGAGTTTTGAAGCGTAACCTGTTGGTCTTGAAAACTATAATTAATTTAACAAGCTGAATAAGCACATGTGCAAAAATGCTACGTTTGTAAGCAGACTGAGGCATTTAACTAATGAAGTCGGATTACTTGGTTATTATTAGTAGATTCTGATTTAGCTGTCAGATTTTTAATATAACGTTACAGTGTGTGTATCATACATTCTCGTAGTTTTTATCTTTTACATTCAGCATTGCACATTCAATAGTCAGATATTTCATACATGCTGTACTATGTACATATACATACTGAGTAAAATGTAAAAGATAAAAAAATATTTTTGTAATACAAAATATCTATTAAAATATGACTGTCAGTGAACTACTGCATGAGCTATAGTGTAATATAGTATTTATATCCTATCAAAGCTTCCGTCCTGTGCTGTGTCCCGCTCCATAGGTTAATTTATATAAATAATATATACGCAGAAAGTTTGGTTTTAAGAAAAATAAAATCAGAAAAGAAAACTAAAGAGTGATTTCCAGTACCTGCAGCAGCTACCTGTAGCATCACTCTCTCTTCAGATGTCAGATCACCTTTCCTTGCAGGGGTCATGCTCGACATATTGTTATTATTGTTAAGGATAAATAGTATATCGATGTGAAATTGCTTCCTCAGAATACCGACCTTCTAATACAAAACTCAAAGTAAAAAGAAGGCATCATTGGTTCATACCACTTTGGAAAGGAGGGGAGGGTGGATATCCGAGTGACACGATGTGAAAAAGCCGTAATGAATATTTAAGGATGTCAACATTTATTTTATTTAAAATATTCTATAAATACAGGTTATTACTTTGTCATTCAAGAGGATTTAATTATTATTAGCAGTAGTAATTAATGTCGTTCGAAGTCCCCCTCTCGAGATATAGTATTTATATCCTATCAAAGCTTCCGTCCTGTGCTGTGTCCCGCTCTCAACACCTCATTCCTACTTTGAAACCAGGTTGCATTCTCTTCCAGGAATGCCATAGCCTGTGTGTTATTCTTGGCACTGAAGCACTTATAAATTGAGGCTGGTGAAACTACCTAGAATATAAATCTACTGTTATACAGCAGCACTCAAAAGCCTGCAAAAGCATATTCTTGTGGTTGCCAAGTGCTGTGTGATGTTTGTCCTTGTTTAATTGGTTTTATGACAAGGAATGTCACTCATACACTGTGAGAAAGTCAAAGTGAGAGCCGTGTTGAATTAGCAGTGTGGTACAATAACTGGAGAGTGATTGGGTGTGATTTTGATGGTTTGTAAGCCCCACTCACTCCTCAGGGTCTGTTGTAATCTAATTAAGACCCGACTCTGACTTTTGACTCTCCAGAGTTTCTGGTTTTCTAGCAACACCGGTCCTGTGAGGTGTTGTGCTCTGGACATCCTCCACTTGAGCTGATCTAAGGGCCGATTACTGCATTGTCTGTTGTAATGGATTAAGGTTTGGTAACAATTAGCTAAATCATCCTCGTTGTGGGCTCATCCCTGGTGAACGTGGTTGTTGATATCATTTATAAATCACACAGGACTTGCACATGAGTACATATTGTTCAGAGCTGCGTGAAAGGACTCAATGTTAGAAAAACACTGAGCCATGATGTAGAATGCTGTTTAAAAACAATTGTTCTGATTTCAGTGAATTATCACTGTGAGTCATGAGTTCATTCAGCTTTGAGGACAAATCAAGGGTATTCTTTGTGTGGTATGAAATATGTTATGTTATTTTTATTTATTTTATTTTTTATTTTTTTGAAAGAAGTGTCTTTTGGGCTTTTGCTCACCAAGGCTCAATTTATTTCATATGCTGATTTGGTGCTCAAAAAACATTTAATATTTTTATTAAAGGGGTCATATGATGCTGCTAAAAAATAACATTATTTTGTGTATTTGGTGTAATGAAATGTGTTTATGCGGTTTAAAGTTTAAAAAAACACATTATTTTCTACATACTGTATATTATTGTTTCTCCTCTATGCCCCGCCTTGCGAGGTGTGCTGTGATTGGCCAGCTATCCAGTGCGTTGTGATTGGCCGAATAGCTCAAGCGTGAGACGGAAATGTTACGCCCCTTACCATATTGTGATGCCCTGTCCAGCCGGAGCGACAATTCAAAAACACGAAAACCCATTATGAATGAGGCATTTGTTGCATCCAGTGGGGACATAATTACTTATTATAATGACTTATACTGTCTTTTTATGCGTTGCGTTGCATCACGCCGTGTAAACATAAAACCCTGTCTGCATTTGTGATCAGAGAAATGACAAACAACAAGTGCTACTCCACACTGCCCAAAACTTACGTTTGAATCATCAGTGGCAAATGATAAAAGAAAACGTACTTACGTGAGTCAGAACTGCCGGCATTTTAGTCTAACGTTACTCTCCCAGGATCAGTAAACAGTCCTCCATAAAATGTGCCGGCGATCCACAGCACTAAGTTGATGTATTTCCTCAGCGACCAGCACAGATCAGCTCTAGGCATGACGAAGCGGATATCGTCCTCTTTTTGAAGACCAAACAAAGTAGTTTCGCTTTCACAACGAAACCCACAGCGTCTTCATGACATGGCTGCAGCGACAACAATACTACAGTGAGACTAAAAGTTACGCCTTCTTTCTTTGCGTGAACATTTGGGTGGTGTTATGCAAATCTTCCCACATAGTGACGTAGATATGTGGGGGCGTGTTCGAACGAGCCGTTTTAGGTAGGCGTGGCTGACTCTTAACTTTTATAAAGAATATCTCTTTGGATTTGAGACTTTAGTCTTTGCAACTTTACAGATCTTCTTTATGCACCAAGAGCTTGTAACACTCCAAAGAGAAAGGAAAAAATGAAATCGCATCATATGACCCCTTTAATGTTGAAATCCTTTGATCTACTTTGAATAAGACAAAGGATTCTTTGATGAATATAAATTTATAAAAGAACAGCATTTATTTGAAATAATTTTAAATGTTTTGCAATATTATGGTTAGTTTTTACTGTTACCTTACCTTTGTGCAATTTATTGGACGGTGCATTTATTACAAATAAAAAAATATTAATAAACCTTGCAGACCCCTTTTAAAGCTGACTCTCAAAAATAAATCTGCACTCATTGGAGTTTTTTTGTAATTAGTTCAAATGTTTAAAATTAGATTTATTTAACCAGTATTTAAATGAGTTAAATCAGTTTAATAATAATTATATTATATGATATTTATTATATTTAACCCATTGTAAATTATGTTTCCATCACAAATCATTCTCACACTTCTGACCTCAACTTCACTTTGGTAACATATTATACCATGGTGAAACATTCATAATCATATGCAAAATTTACTGCAACATAAAGGACATCAAGGAACTTTTTTAGATTTTACTGGTTATGCAGCGCTCATAACGGCTGCCTTTATTTACCCCATGGAAAATGTTGATTTTGTTTGTGTATATGTTTGCACGTGTGTATACTTTGTGAGTTTGCTTGTATACATTATACACACCACACACACATGCAGAGGGCTGTAAGCTGTGATCAGACATGTCCTTGCTGTAATACGACACGTGTCCCAGACCTGGGTGACTGAAGTTTACACCATCGGGGATGAGCCCCTCTATATTTAGCACAGGGCAGCGAAAAAGACTTGCCGGAGCACTGGCTTTCTGCTGGAGCACTCACTGCGTGCTGGAGAGGACCTCTCAGCTGATGAGCTTTTAGATCGTGAGCTTTTTTTCCTCCTAGTACAGTGCGATATTATAAACGAGGTGTGTGAGAGGAGGGTGTAGTATTGGGGAAAGCACAGATTACTGGGTCAGGAGTGTTTTACTGGGTCAGTTTCATTGTTTTGTCTTGTGGGGCATCATGGCTTATTCAATAATGGATCTGTCATGGCACAAAAATGGGTCATCTATGTTTTTGTTGTTGATTTGAGTATATTTTATGTCTGTTTCTTTGCATGGGAAGGACTTATATGAATACCGGTAAGCAACAGAAGCCAGTGCTTACAGGCCAGCGGTTTAAGACCAGGAAAAGGGGTGAGTCATTTTTTATCTCGATATTTCCTATTTTACCTCATAGAAACTAATTGTGGGCTTTACAAAGGATTTAACTTGTGTTGACAGTTAAATGGCAAATGAACAGTGATTGTTCTTAATATTTGTTCACATACAGAAACACACACACACACACCTTAGATGTGCACACGTTGCAGACTCACTCAGCATGTTGCAGACTCGCTCAGCAATGCAGTGGAAAGGGTCTCAATTCATGTTCCATTAATAGCTTGTTTGTGTGCTACTGTACTTCATGTCCTGCACAATACTGATACCATTTCAGACACAGTGCCGTTCTGATCTTTTAACTTAGTTCTGCAGTCTCGGAGCCACAGAAGTTAACAAATAGCCTACTGCAATAGCTGCAGTAATAGTTCCAGAATCAGAAAGTTTAGTGGGTGTTCACACAGAAAGAGTTTTTATGTTCTACAGTGCTAATTTTCCATTGTTTCTTTATGTTAATGTGCTAGGTGGACATTGTTGACCACAGCACTCACGTCTTACACATGTCACAGTGTTCTAAAAATGCAGTGCTCAAGTTATAAGAAGTTAAAAACTTTTAAAAAACAAGTCTCAAGTTATATATTTTTTCCCCATTCTACTTCCTGCGTCAAAGCAAAACCCCAATTTTGTGTGAATGGCCCCTTATCTTTTTTGTTTTATTATATATTTTTTTAAATACAAATGGTCTCATTTATGCATCTCCAGTCACAAAATTATAGGGATGATGATGATTATTATTATTATTATTACATATTGTTTTTATTGTTGTGGTGTACTGATAATTATGGCATTATTAGACATTGATTTTGACACAAAGGCTAAATAAAAGCTATAAAAATCAGTTTACGTTTATTCTCTGACATTTAAACAAAACATACACTACTGTTCAAAAGTTTGGGTTTGGAAATGTTTTTAATGATCACCAAGGCTTCATTGTTTTTTTTAATTTATTTTAAGTACAGTAAAAACAGTAGTATTGTGAAATATTATTAAAATAAGTTTAAGAAAAGTATTAAACTGTTAAGTCTTTTCTATTTAGATACAGTTATATTTATATAAAAGTTCCTGTGATGGCAAAGTAGAAGTTTTCTGCATGATCCCTCAGAAATCATTCTAATATTCTGATTTGCTCAAAAAATATTTCTTATTATCAATGTTGAAAACGGTTGTGTTGCTTAATATTTTTGTAGAAAATTTAATATTTTTTCTTAAAATAATGGAAAGTTGAAAAATAAATATTTTAACACCGTCTTTACAGTAGCACATTACTTCTGACTGGTAGTGTATGTTTAAACAATATAGGTCAATCTTTTTGCAAACAATTAATTATTTTACATAGAAAGAAGTCATACAGTATCTGCCATACAGTTCTAATGTGAATTGTCCATGTAGGTGTATGATACGGGTGAAAGGTGAACACCGTTAGACATTACAGACAGCTTAGGAACGTTACTTAATAGCTTTTGACTGTGACAAATGTGGGGGCGTTTTCAACAGGGCATTAGAGTTATGCTTCACTGGCTAGTGTGGTAGGTGTGACTGGCTCTTCAAATGTGAGATCTCACAGGAAGACACTCAACATGCTCTTTAGCGTGTGCTATAATCAGAATTCCTAGCCAGCAGCGAGGCGAGGGAACTCATTTACATAATGGTAGGTATAAGTGTGGCTTGCATATTTCTGTGTGCGACCACCTGCTTTGTTATCAAGCATTCTACACCGATGGATACAAATCAAGGATCAAATCTAAATAATTTAAAGCATTATATATTCTACATCATAAGTGGCTAATGTGAATCCTGAATCTCTGCTGCGGTAACCTTGACTGAGAGTCTTTCTTGTGTTTCCTCTCTCACAGATGAAAAGGAGAAGTTTGAGCCTACGGTTTTCCGAGACACTATTGTTCAAGGCCTCAACGAAGCAGGTGGTGATCTTGATGCTGTAGCCAAGTTTCTGGATGTCACTGGGTCGAGACTAGACTACCGCCGCTATGCCGACACCCTGTTTGACGTCCTCATGGCTGGGAGCATGCTTGGTGAGAAGGTCCAAAACCTTGTGCATAATTTGGGATATTGTCTTAATACTAAGGTTGTGACGGTGAGGAAATTTTCCCACTGGTTAATCGATGTGTGACAACACCGATAATACCGGTATCACCGTGGGGGCGGGGCTTTTCCTCGCGTTCCTTCGCTTTTAAATGGCTTGTAAAAGAGGCGTGCACATTTTACTTTCACTTTCAAATAGCGGCAATTCGGCGTAAAGCAATTGTTCGTTTGAATTTTCCCTCTTTTCCTCGCTTTCCTTTGCCTTTAAATAGCTTAAAAGCACCGTGGGCATTTTACTTTCACTTTCGAATTAGCGTCAGTTCGGCGTAAATTGCTTGAATGCAACAACAAAATACAACGTCAAACTCACTTTAGCATATATATAAAACAGAACTTTTATTAACAAATAAAAATACACAATGATATAGGGCAGGCTATGCCTAATATAAAATAACAAATAACTTACATAGTTTAAATAGGTACACAAAAACTGGAAATAGGCTAAGTTAACGTATAATATATAACCAAATAAATAAGAAGCATAGAACGTTTATTAGCAAAACGAGTAAGAAAGCTTGGAGGCACGGCATAAACCTTGATGTCAAATAAAATAAATAAATGACACAAAGTTTAAATAAAGTAAAAATCAGCAAACACTGTGGAACCAATTAAAAATGAAATGAATGTTTAAAAAAAACTTCCAAAATCACTTTAAATAAATGGCAAAAGTCAACAGGCTTTTCAAAATCCAAAATACTGCCAAACAGGCGCTTTTGCATTTAGTTTTCGAAACTAAATCATCCGCCATCGTCTTGTCTGTCTCACCTCACTCTTCTCGTCAGTCAGCTCGACTCACTCTCCTCACTGGAGAAATGGAAATGAAATCGGATTTGTGATGTGACTGTCGTTCGGCACACTGCATTGAGCAGCCGCGTTCAGTTTTTAATTGTAGTGTATGTTCTTTTACTGAACTAAATAATTTTTATTACTATAAAAAATCAAAACGACGGTAGGGGTCAGTGACGTAACCGGTGTTGCGGCTTAACAACGGTATCTCCGTCAGCACCGTCTATCGCGGCAAGCCAACATAATACTGCTTTAATTATTGCTTTGTAGATTCAATTTCATCGTTGATGACACCTCATTACGTAGCTTTATCATGATTTTAAAGATACTATTTTGTTTTCTCATTTCAGAAATGCAGTTAATAATCTCTCAAACTTTGTTGTGATTTAGGTTGCAACAAGATATTTTAAATGATTAATTAGACCAATTTTTAGGGTTTATAAGGCAAAGTGGCACTCACAAGGCCTGGGTATACTTCACTTTCCACGTTCCATTCCGTCTTGCACACGCAGGAGAGCGCAGACCTTCGCAGAACGCCGAAGTATACTTTGGGCTACTGTGTGACATGAATCGACAGAACTTTTGGGTCAGAGTCAGTGGTGTATTCCTAAAGAAAAAGGTGGTTTACTATTACCCTGTCACAACTTGTGCAAGTCAGTAGAAAATCTTAACTTTATAAGAAATTAATATTTCCAGACAATGTTTTCTTAAATTAGTTTTGGCTTTAGTACACTGGTAATATAAAAGACAATGATTTAATTAAAAATAATTTATATTTATACTTATAATAATAATAATAATAATAATAATTATAAATATAATTATAATAATATTTTTTTCTCACACAGTATAAGTGAGTCTTTATAAATAAAAAAATGTATAGCTAATCTTATTATTTATGAAGGGAATTATATCTCCTGCAGTAGAATGTTGCATTGTGTAAATCAGCTGTAAAAACACGTTGTAAATAGAAACCTTTTACGCTCCCCAGAGTGTAAAAACAAATCCGCACTGGATAGATTGCCAGATCTGTTTTATCGATATGTTATCACAGCTTAAACTGAGGGTGCTTAGCACTAGCATTCCTGTTGCCCTGTAACACCGGGCCTGAAGGGATTGTTAAATTTGAGGGTCCTTGGCATCAAATAGTTTACCAAACAAAATCTGTGGACAGCGCATTCCCTCGCTCTCTCACACAAGACATTTAAGCACAAGTGACTTTATCTATAAACAGCATCAATAAAATGTCAAAAGAAGCTGCTAATACGCGAGTAATTCACATTCAACCCGCTCACTCTTTATTAAATGCATAGCAATGGTTTACTCACTAGAGCGGAGTTCTCTCGCTGTGGTAGAGTAATAAAAGTGATAATGCCAAAATTATAAGAAAGAATCGCTAGTTTTGCACATCAGCATGAGACACCATTAAAGGGGACGCAAATATGACAGTAGATTACGGACTTGCGAGGCAACAAAACAAGTGGGTATACCGAAGGTATATGCAAATACTGATCCTTAGAAGTTGTAATACAAGAACAACCCCAGGCAAAAAGTAAGCATATGGCGTATACATGGCCCACACTACACCACTGGTCACAGTCTTGCAGATGTATATATTACAGTTTGACATTAAAAAAAAAAAACTGTTGCTGCCTTTTACCCAAGCTGTCACTGGGGCTATACTGTACAATCCGGCAAGCAACATTCGTAAAGGACAGAAAATCACTTTGTGGACCCTTGTAGAACCATCCTTTGTGCTGTTAGTTTACGCAGACGCTGGCGTCTTTAGCAGATTAACAGAATGAGAGTTCATTAGCTCACTCCCCTGTGACAGCAGGCTGTTGCTCCAACGCTGCCTTTTACCCAAGCTGTCACTGGGGCTATACTGTACAATCCGACAAGCAACATTCGTAAAGGACAGAAAATCACTTTGTGGACCCTTGTAGAACCATCCTTTGTGCTGTTAGTTTACGCAGACGCTGGCGTCTTTAGCAGATTAACAGAATGAGAGTTCATTAGCTCACTCCCCTGTGACAGCAGGCTGTTGCTCCAATACTTGCTGCACATCTCTGGATCAAAGTGTTTAGTGCATACCTCCAGGCCATCAACTTACAAATATATATATACAACGATGAGGACAGCAGGGAATACACAACATCATTTTAGCCTGTCTTAGTTGTCTCCTAGGAGCTGTCACAGCCGGTTGGAAATCTTCAGATCTTTTGCACATAAGCAGGCTGAGAGAGTGAGTGGGTGGCTTCACTGTGGGACAGAAGCAGAGTGTTGAATTTGGTTGGAGCAGATATGGGAAGCCAGAATATAGAACAGCATATTAAAAGGGTTTTTGGAGTTGAATATGCATTTTGTGAGTTTAAAATTATATGCATGTAAAGGGTTGTGAAGCACATATGCTGTCAGATCAGACAGCACATAATTAGATTATTATAGCAGTTTACTTTAATTGTATACTGAGCCATGTTACTCACATAATGTTATCATATAGTGCATTCAAACCAATATACTATAGAAATGTGACATATGAATATATTGTTCAAAAAAGTATGCGTTAAAAAATGTTTTTTTTTAATTATGCGGATTAAAATTAGCCTCTGGCTAAATCTGGTACAATGCATTATATGTAAACATTTATGTTAAAAATTGTACATGGTTTCTTTCAAAATGTTTCAGCCTGGTCAAACATCCAGTCAGCAGTCAGATTACTCCAGCTAGGATATAGAGCCCTCATAAGTAGAAGACTACCGTTAACTCTGTAAAATAGAGATTAAGTCCAAATCTTCGGACCTTTGCCCTTATTAGTCCTTAACAAAGGCCGGTTTCCCTGAACTCTGTGAAAATAGACGGGGATCTGTTACACAAATGGGATGAAAGCACTACATTCAAGTTAACATGAAAGCATGAGACGAAAATAAACTCGGTTTACTTTCTTAATGCATATTTTTGGTCTTATAATGAACTATTTATTTATAGACATTAATTTTTCTTCATAATTTTCACCAAAATAATTTGCTAATGTCTTTTAAATCTGCATTTTTTTCAACCACTCAAACTACTCTTCCAAAGACTGCCCTAGAGAACTTTTTTTTTACATGATTCAATCAGTTCTTCATTAATTACTAACAAAATTCATGTTACTAACAAAATTGATCAATGTTAGTCATTACATTAATGACTAACAAAATTAGTCCTGATCTACTGTATTTTATTTAGATTTTTTTAATTATTGAATATACTGTCAAGTAAGTAAAATTTGTCAAAATATTTGAAAATGTTTTTGCATAGTAATTTGATGAAAAAGAAGAATAACAGAAAATTTCTGACGACCTAATAAAGAAAACTTTGATTTTATTCAAATATTTTGAATATTTTTGCCTGAATAATACAAAGCCCCTAAAGGAACACATAGAAAAGTTATATTTCTTTTGTGTTCACTTGCAAAACTTTCACCCTGAGAAAGTTTGTATACGCATGAGGGAAAGCAAAAGTTTTGCGAGCTAATGCAGAGTTTCTCAGGGGAAGCAGTACTTTGGCTAGGGAATAATACACACATTTTGCAAGGGAACAAAAGTTTCAAGTTTGCAAGTTTCTCGGGAGAACCTAAAAGTTTTGCGAGCAGATTCAAAATTGCTGATGGAAATAATATGAGGTGAGAAGATAAATTATATTTCAATGCTTTTGCATTTATTTGCTAACCTTTTGCATTCTCAAAACAACACTGCATTTGCGAGTTTGTCTTGTGAAAGTTTTGTGAGTGAACGCAAAACTGGTAATGGAAATAATATGAGGATTTAAGTGTTTTTGCAAGCCAATGCAAAGTTTCTTAGGGGAACTAATTTTTCTTCCAATTGTATATTTTTTCCATCATCGTGCACTCTTAGGTGCTCCGTAGAAAAGCCAGTTTAGTGTTTTATGAAATGGTAAGATAGGAAGTATTACACTGACAAATCAATGGATCAGTGGCTCAACACTGTAATCCGGAGCAAACCTCTCAAGGGGAGCTGAAGTTAACGGTGTACTGTATGGTATTAACCCGGACACCTGTGGATTAGTCCATGAGGCATTGCATTGTTATGTGTGCAAAGCACATTGAGAAACCATGTCCTATTTTGGGGTAGAAGCAATGCTGTAATTCAATTTCTTTCCTTATTTGATTAAATGCTTTGGAAATGCATCTACTTTGTAGTGCAGAGGCTAATGATTTTTTAACTTGACCTACACTACATCACTTCTTTTATACATAAAGCTGTACTGCACATTATGCATTATACATAAATAAAACTGTAAACATTGCAAACACAGCATATGATACAGGGAATGAAGCATTCTGGTATAACTGTTGTGTTGTTGCATAGCTGGTTGCTGTGACGTCTGCTCCTCTCAGTTATAACTGTGCAGTAGGCACCGTGACATTGTCTCAGTAGGGGTTAACAGTGACAGCACAGTGCTCTCAAAGAATTTACAGCATTGACCTGTAACCTCACTTTCCCTCTCTCAGCTCCCGGGGGAACACGTATTGACGATGGGGACAAGACCAAGGTGACAGAGCACTGCATGTTCAGGACGGAGGAAAACCACACTGCTGTCCGCAGCTATGCTCAGGTGAACAGCCCACTTCAGCCCGTTCAGTGAGATGCTTTTTTTCCATTGTTGTATATGAAAAATGAGCAGCCGAAACCAAGATGGCAGGAAGGCGGGGGAATCCTGTTTCAAAATTGCATTAGATGTACTTGGCCTCCAAATCCTCTGGGTAGAACCAGTATGCCACTCATACTGGGTCATTATGAAATAATCCCTTGGATTACATTGTCTCTCCATCACCAGCTACTGTGAGTTTAAAAGTGTGTTTTTGTGTCCAGGATTTAGATTCTGTCATATCATAAGGAATCAAATTTGATTTGATTTTGGTTTTAGAAGAGTTTGATGATTGATGTATTAAGGATGTGTCTAAAATTAATAATAATAATAAAAAACTAAATTAATAACAATAATAATAGCATAAAAGTTTAATATATAAAATATCACATTATTACTATTATTATTATTATTACATCTAAAAATATTTATTTCAGGTTTTTTATTTTATTGTTTTTAGATTTTATTATCTAAAATAGTATAATAATAATAGTAATAATATCTAACAAATAATATATAATATCTCATATATTATTAATAATATTGAACAGATGATAAATATAATTATCATAATATTACATAGTTTATAATATTATTTTATTACATTGTTGCTATTATTATTATTATTATTAAATCTAAAAATATTTATTTAGGTATTTTTATTATATTCTTTTTAAATATTATTATTTTTACCATCTAAAAATAGTAGTAATGATATCTAACAAATAATATAAATGTATAATATCACATATATCACATATTATTGAACAGATAATAAAATATTATTATTATTATTATATAATATGTAATGTTTTATATATTTTATTACATTATTATTATTATTATTATTATTAATAGCTTCATCGTCTAAAAATACTATAATAAAATATAATAATAATATCTAAAAAATAACATATTATAATTATATATATATATATATATATAATATATGAAATCTTCTTTATAGTTCATTATATATCATATTTTATGTTTAAATATTTGAATATCTAAAAAATAATATAAAATATAATAATATTAATATCTAAAATTACATAATATATAATATTACATGAAATTATTATTATATTTTGGAATTTAATATTTGTTTTTAGGTTTTATTATTATTATTATTATTATTATTATGCAAAATGGTTCTGGTGTGAATTGTGCTCAGATCGTGGTGTATGTGAAAGAGGAGATGAAGAAAAATGATCTTCAGGAGCAGGCTGTGATTGGCTTACTGTGGACCTGCCTCATGAATGCAGTTGAATGGAATAAGAAAGAGGAGCTGGTCACCGAACAGGCCCTCAAACACCTGAAGGCACAGTATCAACACCTAGACTTTATAATCTCACATTGATATTTGTAATGCTCATATCTATATTCTCATATCTAAAGGATCAAGGATCTTGGAGACGTTGCCTCAGTTCTTCTGGATTGAGTTTGTCTCAGTTTGTTCTGTTTCTTCATGTTATTCCAGACAGACGGGATGATGAGGAGATCAGATCTCTGTGTGGAGCACTGGCTGCTGTCAGACAAAAATCTCACTGGATTATTATTATTAATGGCAAAATGAATGTTTGGAAATGTAAACTGATATTTCCTGCTGACACACTACAGCAAAAGATAGAAAGAATTGACTTAAAACCAATTTTTTAGCTGGTGAAAATACTAGTTTTCCAATCATTTTGGCCACCACTGTATATATATAGTGTGTATATATATGTGTGTGTGTATTTTTTCAAAAAAATTAATTTGTTATATATTTTACTTCAGACTGTTACAGCAAAGTCAGGTTATGTTTTTCTTTCCTAAATTATTTTTATGATTATTATTTTAAATTAGTGTCATATTTTAAAATAACCCTCGCAAAAATAGTTAAATTAGAGTCGAGTCAAATTTATTTGTATAGTGTTTTTTGCAATACACAGTTTCAAAGCAGCTTTGCAAAAGATAATGATGTTAATGTTTACAATATTACAATATCTTAAAATCGTCAAGCCTTATAGTCGTCTTTAGCAGATTAGAGCGGGACAATAATATAGTTTATATTTCATGACAATACAAGCAATATGCCATCCATCCAGAGATTTGACCTAAGTATTGTGATGTATTATATATCACTTTATGTGAGCATATGGATAAACTGGATATACTTTTATCCCCAACTTTATATGTAAAGCTGTATGATAATATCTATTTAAATTTTTCGATGATGCAACAATCAAGTAATTAAGATTAATTTATTTTGTTCTTTTATTATATAAAATACAATTTCAACTACTGTATGTCAGTTTAAAAAAATAAGTTTGTTTTGAACTTATTTTATTTCCAGGTTTCTGAAGTGTAGAATATGCAGCTGATTGGTCCATGAAAGAACTTGATTGTTGTATTAGATGATTATGTAGGCGGCCTCAAGCCAATGCAGCGTAATGCATCCCAACAAGTCATGTGCTGCCAGTACAGACCTGTGTAAGAGAGAGACAGTGGTGCTGGAATGATACTCGTGATTGTTTCTCCTGTAGCACTATGCACCTCTCCTGGCTGTGTTCAGTACTCAGGGCCAATCAGAGCTGGTCTTACTGCTCAAGATTCAGGAGTATTGCTACGACAACATCCACTTCATGAAATCCTTCTCCAAAATAGTGGTGCTCTTCTACAAAGGTACCCATGTCTCACCTGATCAGTGTTTTAACGATAAATTATAGGCAGGGTAAGATATGGTGTGTGTTTCTCACTCCACAGCTGATGTCCTTAGTGAGGAAGCCATTTTGAAATGGTACAAAGACGCCCATGCTGCCAAAGGGAAAAGTGTATTTCTGGAGCAAATGAAGAAATTTGTGGAGTGGCTTCAGAATGCGGAGGAAGGTGAGGAAGTATCTCGGATAAAAATATCCTCTGCCAAACAAAATGTATATCTCAAGCACATTATGTCTTAATTCTCTCTCTGACAGAGTCCGAGTCAGAGGGGGAAGACAACTAATCATTTTGAGGATCCTGAAGATTTTCTGGGTTTTACACTGCCAGCTCTCTGTGACCAGCTTTTTAGTGCATATTTAGGCTCTTTGTCATTACATTTGTGTCCAGAGGGACGAGTCGCATACACTGAGGCCCAATCCAGGGAAAACCTTCTGAGCTCTATATTAAGAGTGGAGGAAGCTGCATATAGACAGCCTTTAATAACAAACACTTTAACATGGATTTTATATGAATGCCGTTCAGGTACTGCGTTTCCTGCAACTGATTTTCATTTGAACAAACACGTGTACATGTCGTATGGGACTGCTTTGAATCTTTTTATGAATAAAAGCTGTTTTATATGTACTCTATTTCAAGAATTTGCCTCTTTTACTTTGTCTGACTCCTCTTTAAGTCACTTTGGAAAGCATCAGCCAATTGAATAAATGTTGATAGGGACTATATTAATATAAAGGCTTTTAGTTATGCAGATTATGCCAAGGCCAAATCCTTTACTGTCTCACTCATATTGATTAATGTGTTTTAAACATTAACATGAAAAGAAGATTTTTGAATTCCATTATAGAGTTGGCTCATTGTCATTCAGAGTAGATAATTAACTGACTTTATAAATGAAACAGTTGTCTTAAAATGCATTACTTTTTAAGGTCTCTGGATTTTTTTTATGCCAAACTTTGTATAAGGATGATTCTCAGCTATGTTATAAAAGCTATAGCAATGACTTGATATAAACTGGTTTTCCCATTAAACACAATCTTATCTATACGCTGTATCTAATCTGCATATTAAAGTGCTGTTAGGACAGCATGTTGAAAACAGAAGTGTAATAATGGGAGTAATAATTGGCTAGATTTTCATAATATCTCATATTTCATAATAATATTGATTTATAATTTATTTTCCTATTCATCTGTTGTGTCTCCCAAAATGTGTAATAAACATGCTTTTAGTCCCAGTGTCCTCATGAAGTGGACATGAAATGATGACCTGTTTCATAACAGGAAGTCATATTTTGATTTGAAACCCCATAACATTTTCCTGAGATGTTGATTTATGACAAACTATTTGAAAAGTCATCAGATTTAAATGATAATTACAAAATACTATCATATTTCCATAAGGATGTACAATTTCATCACTAAATTAATGTTGGCTAAATAAATAAAACTGAAATGTAGCATGTAGTGAGCCCAGTTCACTTCTCCCTCATGATTAATCTCCATTTTAATCTCTTATCTGGCCACTTACTGAGCCAAAACCACCAAATTCTGTGAACAAACAGAGAAACAGATGTGACAACATGAGATAAGTACACAGGTGGAGACATATACATATATGCATATACATGTAGAACAATACACACACATATCAGTCATTCTTGAGAAGTGGGACAAAACAGGGTGCAAAATTGAAAAAATAAAACCTTGTACTCAGACAAATGAAACTACATTTATGTATCTTATATGTACTAAGCTACTGAGCTATGCTTTGATTCAACCTCCCAACCTCCAACTCTCTTTTTTAACAAAATGTGCTTTTTTTACTTTGGACTGTGTAACATAATTTCAGCTTTATCTTTAACATCGTTCAAGATGTTTTTAACATTTCAAAACACATTCTCGTGTTAGCAGACAGAATACACTTTCACATGTGACCAACAATTCCACAACAAATATAAAATATCATAATGAAATATTATCAAAATATTCTAGGTGATATTATTAAGTGTTGCTTTTGATAAAACAAGCTCATTAAATCATTAAAAAACATTTTTATCCATTTTATTGCATATGAATGATTGAACCCTTCTCTGTGGACACACTGTTTTAGATGTAGTAGTGAGAGGACATTAAGAAACACAGATTTGGTATAATAATGAGAAAATGAAACTGAAGGTGATAATTGTGTTAAATACATTCTATTATTAATCCCCCAAAATATTTTTATTTTTTAAAGCAGTTACCCTTGCTGGACCTGTTTTGTCCCACGTCTCAAGAATGACTGATATGTGTGAGTGTGTATATATTGTTTACGTCTGACTTTTGCATCAAAGTCAGGTTGTAATATTTTTTCCCTGAATTATTTTTTTGGTAAAATTAGTCTAATATTAAAAAAAAAAAAAAAAAAAGTAGTGAAATTAAATTCAAGTCAATTGTATTTATATATACTACCAAATGTTTCATTTGGTGGCGTCGAAATATTTGATTTGCTCTCTGACTAAAACGGGACTCGCGACAAGAATATGATGACTAAAGTATATGGGAGATAACTAGAACCAGAAGATGGCAGTACTGCAACGTTAAGGATGCAAGCTCCCGTTAAAACCCAAAGAAGAAGAAGAAGAAGATTTGGTGGCGTGGTCGGAAGCGGTTGCTCTTTGTCGGGCGTGCTTCGGTGTTTGGTGGCTAACGCTAACGAGACAATTCGCTGGAAAACCCGGAAAAGTTCTGTCAGGCAGAGCAGAGAACAAACGTTTGCTGTTGTGCAGTCATGGATGAAGATTCTGAAGAGTCGATAATGGAGGACAGGTCCGGATTTACGGAGGTATACTCAAGAAAGAAAAACTCAAAACGTAAGAAATCTTCTAAGGACCAGGAAGATAGTGGGGATATGGTGGTAACTACACAAGATACAATTAAAAAAAAGACCAAAGCAAATCAGTCCAAGAGAACAAATTGTACAAAATACTGAGGAGAATGGTTTCAAAGTTATGTTGACATTTGAAAAAGAGTTCAGGAAAGCATTTGCGTTCAATAGGACTGTCCAAAGCGATCGCTAAAATCATTGGAACCGTTGTTTTGGCTAAATGTTTAGAACAAGGGAGGGTTCTGATAATTGGACAAAAAAAACAAACTACTAAATATGAAAGAAATTAATGGGGAAAAGATTACATCCAAAGAGATTGGAGTAGCTAAGGTTGAAAAGGGGGTAATATGTGGAATTCCAACATATATAACCACTGATGAAATTCATGAAAATATAAAAAGGAGGGAAAATTGTTAATGTGAGAAGACAACAAAAAAAAAGGAAGGACAACGACAGGAGAGTATCTTGCTGACATATGAAGGGAAAATGCCTGAAAAGGTACAAATGGGATATATTAGTTATCCAGTAAGAGTGTATGTCCCAATGCCATTAAGATGTTTTGAATGTCATCGAATTGGACATGTGGCTGCAGTGTGTAGGGGGAAGTAAGATGTGTAAAATGTGGAGGAGAACATGAATTTGACACATGCACAGAGGTGAATGGACTAAAATGCTGTAACTGCGGTGGTCCACATAGTGCAGCATATGGGGGATGTGAGGTACAAATTAAAGCAAGAGAAGTTAAAACAATATAAGGCTGAGAATAAAGTCACTTATGCTGAAGCAGTGAAGGTCTGTGGAAGTAAGGAGGACAGGAGGGAAGAGGTAAGGGACAAAATCACACAAGACTCAAGGAACAAAGAAAAGGGGAAAACAAAGGAGTCTGAATGTAAACATCAGTGTGCTATAAAAGAAAATGCACTAATAAGGACAAGAGAGAACTTTCTAGCCTTTATTGTAAAGGTAATTAATGTCACTGCTATGCTGCCAAGTAGATCGGCCAAGATAAAAACAATTCTAGAAGCTGCAACAGAGTTTCTAGGGATCTCTGGGATCTCAGTAAACACGATTCATGAGATTCTTACTCGATCAGCAACAGTAGAAGCTTCCCAGGTTTCTGAGTAGCTTAATGGTGATGAGCGTAATACAATGGAATGCAAGGAGCCTCGTAGCAAATGGTCAAGATTTCAAATTTTTTTTATTAGATTTAGAATATATGCCAAATGTTATTTGTGTACAAGAGGCATGGCTCAAGCCAAATTTGCAAGTTTGTATTACCAGGATATCTGTCTATTCGGTAGGATAGAGTGGGGAAACAAGGGGGAGGGGTTGTAACATTTATAAAAGAAGGAACTATGTATAGGGAATTAAATGAGGTTAAGGATATTGAATGTGTTGTGGTTGCTTAAACACAGGACAAGGCACTAGGTTTAACAGAGAATACGGTATCAAGTATAGATTTAACATTAATATATGGAATGGCTGAAATATGTGAATGGAAAGTAAGCCGTGAGAATACAGTTGAAAGTGATCATTTTCCAATTGTATGTAAATAGTAGTAGTACAGGGTGTTTTCTGCAAAGAAAATGGATGTATGAGAAAGTAGATTGGAGTTCATTTAGCAAGTATTGTGAAACATAAGGATATAGTAGTAGATGATTCAGTAGAAACATTTTGCAACTCTATTACGAATTTAATAATATAGTATATACCACAAAGAATTGCAGGACAGAAAAATCAAAATATTCCATGGTGGAAAGAGTGCAGTAAAGCAATAAAAGAAAGAAATAAGGCATTTAAACAACTTAGGAAAAATATAAATATAAGTAATTTGGTGAAACAAGAAAGCAAGAGCTAACACAAGAAGAAGAATTAAGAATGCCAAGAGAGAAGGTTGGAGAGAATTTTGTTCTACCATTGGAAAAGATACTCCTATGGATAAAATATGGAACATGTTAAGAAATATGAGTGGGAAAGGGAAAAAGTCAACTCAAATACCAATTTTAATCGAAGAGGATACAGTGGCAGTAACCGATATAAACAAAGCAAACATATTGGGTAAGGTTTTAGAAAAAGCACATAGAATAGAATTGGGAGAAGAATATGAATTAAGAAGAAATATTTTAGACAAAAATCCAGTCAAATGCCAATTTTAACTGAAGAGGATACAGTGGCAGTAACAGATATAAACAAAGCAAACATATTGGGTAAGGTTTTAGAAAAAGCGCATAGAATAGAATTGGGAGAAGAATATGAATTAAGAAGAAGAAATATTTTAGACAAAAATCCAGATATAATGAAGAAGAGAAATGGTAATAATAGTTAATAATAGGATTCAGAGTTTACTATCACAGAACTGAAAACAGCACTTCAAAAATGTGCCAATACTGCTCCTGGGTGTGACGGGATAAGTTATATAATGATAAAGCATCTGTCAGATAGTGTATTATTAATGATACTTAAGTTATATAATAAAATATGGGTAGAAGGAATACTTCCAAAGATATGGAAGCGAGCTGTAGTAATTCCTATTGTAAAACCAGGTAAAAATCCAACAAACCCAAGAAGTTATCGACCAATTGCTTTAACTTCAAACTTATGTGAATTCATGGAAAAGATCATAGTTCATAGATATGAGTTAGAAAAGAAGGGTAAATTATGTAAATATCAGTGTGGATTTAGAGATAAAAGATCAACAATGAATGCATTAATAAAAGTCAGTAACGAAATAGAGAAGGCAATAAAAATGAAAGAAATTATGGCA